CTTAGCATATTTTTGAGGGTCATCCATGTGGTAGCATGTATCAGTAACTCCATTCCTTTTTATTGCTATAATATTGCATTGAATTAATATAGCATTTTATTTATCCAATTATCAGTCACTATTAACAATTTAAACAACTCCTTTATTTGTTCAGTTTCCCTGGGTTTGAATACCTGCTGGACAAGTTCCTCGATGAGTGACCTTGGGTAAATCATAATCTCTCTAAACCTGCCTCTGTTTCCTCAACAGTAAAATTTGAATAAAGATGGAGTTTATCTCATATAGTGTTATGGTTGTATTGTCACAGTAATTAATATTTGTTGAGCCCTTACTCAACAAACAGACGTAACAGGTCTATGATTTTCAGATTAGGGAATTGAGTAGGAGAGGTTATATCATCTCTAAGATCAAACAGCCCCTAAGAAAATGATGGAGGTAAACAAAATCACAGGCTGTCTGACTACGAAGCCTGCACCATTAACTGCTAACATCATGGAATAGCAAAGTGCTTAGAATGAGCCTTACAAAGGGAATGAGTTTAGTAAATGATAACTCATAGAACTATAAAAAAGAAAAAAATAGCAATTAACTCATCATCTAAGGACACCTGCCACCGTTAACGAACATTTTGGCACATTTCCATCCAGTCCTTAGGAAATATTTCAGACATATCAAAAAAAAAATCCAGAAAATAATAGACATCAACCTCCAACCCGTTTTTTTAAAAGACATGAAATGTGCCTCTATCTCCCAAGCCCTTATTTTTCCCTTGTGCATTAGTTTGCCTTAGAGTATTAGGATCACACCACATCATTTTCTATCTTTTAAAAAACCCCATCTTGAACATTTCCCTAATATACCAAATATGCTACATGACTTCTCATGGCCGCATATTATACTGTATGACTGAAACATGATTTATTAATTCCCCAGTGTGGGGCATTAGACCATCTCGGAGCCAAAACATCACTACACATTCTTCTTCCTTAAAGCACCTGATAATTCCCTTTGGAAAGTTTCTAGAATGGCCGGAAGAGCAGTCTGTGCTTGACGGTAAGGCTCTTTCTGCGTAAATTTTTTTTTTTTTGGCCAAATCGCTCTCAAGGAAAAATGGCAACAGGAAGGGAGGCTGAGATATTTTTTACCTTTTAAAATATTTTATTCAATTATAATATACACAGAAAAATGGACGTAAGTGTACAGCTCACTGAATTTTCAAAAACTTAACTCCGGGTACCCAGCACCCACACCATGAAATATCGACAGAACGTTTCCAGCAGCGCAGAGCAGCCTCACCCTCTCGCCATCTATCTTTCCAAGAGGTGAGATTTTAACGTCGCAAAATACTACTAATGCAATAACGTCTTTGGAACCTTAGTTTATTAATGCTTTGGTATAACCTAGACCATGAAAACATGAGCTAAATCTTCTCTACAAATGCTTCACAGGCTGACGTTAGGCCAGGCGAAAAGAAAACACGACTAACTAGGAGCGCAGCCGCACACAAGGCTATGAGGCGAGTCCGCAGGGTTCCCGGCGTGCAGCGCGGCGGTGATCCCGGCGTGCAGCGCGGCGCGCGGAGTGGGCGATCTGGCGTTTGGCGCAGAGGGCGCTGACTGCGGGAGCGGCGGGGGCGGCGGCGCGGCGTGATCCTGTGTGTGTGCTGACGGCCGGAGACGACGAGGCGGGGTCGGCATGGAAGTGTAAGCTGCCGAGGGCGCGCTCCCAGCTTTGGGCCGAGGCTCACCGTCGGGGAAGGCTGCACGCTGGGGGCCGAGAGGCGGGGACACCGGGCGACCCCTAGTCCGGGCTTGTGGGAAGGGTGACGCCGAGGAAGCGGGGAAAAAGACTCTCTCTGCCCTTCTGAACCTCCGCCCACACTCCCACCCCGACGCCTAGGACAGGGGCCAAGTGCCCTTCATGGTGCCTGCCTCCTCCCTCATTCATTTACTAGCGTCTCCTAGGTCACAGTGGGGAGCCTGGCTCGGTAAAAAGCCTAGAGTCCGCCCTGGAAGTACCTACGGGAGAGACGGATAAACTTTGTCCGGCTGTGGGCTCCTCGGGGCCCCTGACTCAGAAGAGGTGCCATCCGAGTTTGATGAGGAACAGTTAGCCCTGTGAGGCAAGAGGTGTTTTCTGGGAAGAAGGAAGTACTTGAGCCTGGATTGTGACCACCGACACAGCGGGGGGGGGGG